TATTATATGTACATATTTGATTTAAATATGTACTTATAAAGTACAATCTGAAATTATTTGGATCTAAAATATTGTTTCTAAAAGTAAAAATGTAGGGATGCTGTTTGTGGAGTTCATCTCAGGACCGCAGCTTGGTGTTCTGGGATACGCAGTAGGGTCCCGACCCCAACTTTGGGAACCACTGGTAGACACGATTTGCTGTTTTCCCTTTCACCATTTAAAAAGTATCATATTCCAAGAGAAATCAAGTTAAGGTTTTCTGCATTAGCCTACCTGTTGCACAGACAGGCTAGTATGATGTTTTAGTAATAACTCTAATGATGTGGTGCAGGCCGGTACGGCCTCTCAGTGAGACGGCTGCAGGATCACTTCCTGATCTGGGTTTCTGTGAGGGGTTTGCATGTTCTTTCTGTGCATGAGCGTGTTTTCTTTAGTTAAAGGAAAAGCAGCTAAAAAAATGAATAGCTGGCTAGTGCAGTGCAAGCCTATTCAATAAGTGGCCCATGGGCCAAATATGGCCCATTTAAAAAAATTCTTAGACCCTCATGAAGCTGCCAGATTTGTATGAATATAATGCTAAAAATACACACATCAGAGCTACTTTTCTACTTTCATATTAAGCTAGTGGACGTCTTTGTTATTGACCTGTCCTTCTGACCAGTGCAAAAGGCAGCGAGGGTGCTTTATGAAGAGAAGGCAACAGAACAAAAATGTCTGTGTCAAAATCAAAATGATGATGTGTTGATATTAAAACTGGACTAAAATGTTTTACATTCAGCACTAGTGTTTAATATATTACATTGAGAAATCCTAAATTGGAATTGGAGCCACCTTGGTCTAACCTTGAAAATAAAATCTCCTGTGTATCAGATGATGCCATGCTCAGACCATGTCTTGTGAATGACCCTCAGTTACTAGTACCACGTCTAGTTTTAGTTCAATTTATGTAAAACTGTTAGAAATGTAACAATTTACTCTTCTTTAAAGTCAGCTGGCAAAGGCAGCCATCTTGAATCATTTAATCAGCTGTAGATGTATCCAGTTATATTTTCTGCAAGTTTCAGAACAAATTATCAGAGGTTCATGAGATACTTTAGTAACAGACAGACGGGCAAAAACGTAACCTTCACTCTTCACCTTTATTTATTTATTTCGAAATGGCTCACTAGTTTTGTCCTGGAAGCAGGTTTTAATGATGCACGTCTACTTGTGCAGCTGAGGGTTTTACGAGGTGCACCTGAAGGCAGCACAGGGAGGTGCAGCAAGCCCGTCGCTGCGTCGCTTCTCCCCTTCCTCCTCCTCCTTCAGGTCTTCTCCCCGCATATCCCTCCTCTTTTTTATTATTTATTTATTTATTTATTTATTTATTTTAGGTAGCACCTGCAACTCCGAGAGATGGAGACCTGCTAAGCACGGTGAGCTGACGGGAGAGCGGCTGGACAGAGAAAGAAAAGGAGAAGCGGAAACACTGAAGCATATGGTGGGTTTGTTTGAAGAAGAGCGGCTCGGTTGTGTGACTGAAACTTATTGAACCACGGTAAATAATCAGCTGACAGACACATTTCACTGTTTTACTTCGTTGCTTTATCGCTTACATGTGTGAGACTACACTCACACACACCTCTGTTTCATTAGTTTGAGGAGGGTGGACTGCGGGTTTCGGACCTGCCAGAGACCATCACGAGACGCGCCGCAGCCGAGAGGCTTTTCAATTAAATTAGATTATTTGTTCCCTCCTAGAAGACAGCAGCGACTGTTTTATTCATTGCTTGTATTATGATGTTTCCTCCCACCCCGGCTGGCGTCAGGTTATAACCATCTGTGTGTGTTCTCACGGTAACCAGCCATGATGTCTGGGCAGTCGGTGACCATCCCGGACGACAGGGCGTTCGCCAGCTTCAAGGCGGAGTGTCTGTGCGAGGAGGGCTGGAGTCTTTCCTACAGCAAGGGGGGCATCACCGTGTGGACCCAGGGTCTGGAGGAAGGGAAGGCTGTCCACAAAATGAAGGTGAGACCACCCCCACATTTTGACGCATTGGTCAAGTTTAAGCAGAAAAGTTGACGAGAACAAAAAGTAGCAGGAATATGCGGCCTGATCAGCACAAACACAAAGTAGCTGCAGCACCATTCAACATGCATGCAGGGCACAGCTCTGTTGGTCCAAACTGCTGACATGCTCTGCTTTTTGCTGCACGGCTCCATCCATTGTTCCAACTCTCCAACTAACTAAACAGATTTTCACACCACAGAGCACACTGTAATTTACCCCTTTGAGCATGAAAGATGTACAAAATATTGTCATCGTTCAAAGCAGTGGTTCCCAAACTTTTTATCTTCTGACTCGCAAAATATCCATGGCAAAAATTTGTGACCCCAAATATTACTGGTCTGAGTACACGAACGTTGTTAATAACCCTGAAAACACAGGTTTTTTGACAATCTAAACAGCTTGTACACAAATATAAATACTTATTTATACTTATTTTGTGTTTTTGTAATAATTATAGGGAAAATATTACATCATCAATTATTTTATTATCCTTTTTAATTGATTTCTGGAGATTATCCAAGGTGCTTCATGACCCATAATTGGGTCCCAAGCCCAACTTTGGGAATCAAAGTGCAGTGGTTCCCAAACTTTTCAGCTTTTGACCCACAAAATACAATAACAGAGACTTGTGCCCAACTATGTTTGGATGATAAACATTTGTATCAGGTCAACAAAACACGGGCATAGTAACAATATTTTTATACTACATTTATCCATTTTAAATACACTAACCTCACTCCTTTTTAACAACTAAGGCAAAAATGTAATTAATTCAGAAAATATTTTCAGGACCCCACCTTGATGTTTCGACCCCAACTTTGGGAAACACTGGTTCAAAGAAACTGACATGGAAGCTTAAATGCATCGAACACATCCTGATTTATGTTTATAATGACGTGGCCACGAGTTGAACTCGAACAATAAGAAGTTCCTCGTGCTCGGAGAAGAGATGAAAATCTCAGGCAGGTTTGATTCTCTGGAAACGAAATTTACTTAACACAAAAAAAGTAAGGAAATTTGTGTTTGGTAGATTATTTCCTTGCAACAATGCTTCTTGGTAATAAATCTTATACCAGGCACCTGACTGGCAGTACCTGGGAGTAGCAGACAGTCGAAACAAGTGTCAATAGCAACAGCAATAGAAGCTGTTTGGCTGAGAAGATTTGGCTGTTTTATTCATGTGCGTGACTCCACAGCTCTACTGCTCATCCTACATATGCATGTTCCTTACAAATGTGGCGCCATTTAAAAGGGAATTTAACAGGCTTTATTGTTACAACAACAAAATAATCTACCCAAGTTAAGTTTTAATGCAAGAACATGTTCAGGAACAAAATGTTTAGTAATGATTTATGCTGTTTGCTTTGAAGGAATTTGATTAGCATGTCATAGAGTGCATTGTGTCCCAGAGGAGGAAGCAAACATGAACAGTTCAATAGAAGTGACTAGGCACAAGTTGATTGGCCTGTGGTTACAGCTTCTATCAGGACTTTAACTGACCTCACTTGTTTCTTTGATAGAGCTGCAGTGTGTGGTTTGTACAAAAAGAAAGAGGAAAAAAAAAATGCAGATCTGTTACATTCAGGCCCCAGGCAAAAGAGTTCACACAACGCTGATCAAGCATATCAGTTCTTTGCAAAATATCTGAGTGCAAAATCTGGTGTTGTTATTCTCACCCTAGCTCACTGATAATGGGACATTTTTTTAAACTAAACAGCAACTATTGGTTCAATGCTGCAGTTGAAAAGCCAAACAGTGGAAACAAGTTACAGCAAATTAGAACTGTCCTTGAGAACAAAGGAAAGCTGGTAACTATTCAGCTAAAAAAGTATCTGAAGGGTAAGAGGAATGACTGTGCCATTACATTGCTCTATTATCTCTATTCTGTATTTTTTATTTGCTTCTACTATCAATTATTTAGAGAGTTTTACACAGTGAGTCATTTTATCAGGTCCACATACTTTATATGGTAAAATAATGGCATGGCACCACCATCCACTCATCTAATAACACAGCCCAGAAACACACAACATGAACCTTACCTTACACTACCTGTCTGACCACAGAAGCTGTGTAGGCGAACAAAAAAAAGTAATACCTAAAGCAAATGCTAATTTGATAAACAGGAATGAGAAACAAACAAACATTCATAAATGACACTTATTACTGTAAATTGCGCTCATAATAACCTGCCTTTGACCTTGTTTATAAAACTACATTTTCCATTTATATTCAACACCAGTAGCTTACTCAACTTGGGAATAACAATCAGGAAAAGAAATCATTTTGGCGTTTAGCTTCACTGGCTCCCCCACATCAGTCACATTTCATATGCAGTTTTGTGTTGGTTTGATTTCTACATTTAAGCCAAAACGTAGCCCACATCGTTTTAATGCTAACACAGACCCTGATTTCAAAGTATTTAGCTATAAGTAAGCACAAAACGTGCAGTTGTTTCAATATTTTTGGTGAAAGTAAGCGTGATTCAAAACGTTATTTTTTAGAAGCAGGTTTTCTAAGAAGTTTTGACATGTACTGCACCTATTTCTGCATTCACACCAAGCTTTCTGGATCAATAACTTATCAGTAAAGCCTTGTGCTGACTCGAACGATTCCTCTTTTCCACAAACAACAACGTTATTTGTAGCAGAATACAATCAGAGCTGAGAAGTACCTTTGGTCTCTGAGGAACATGTCATGAAGTTCAACATTTCTCTGCATTTCCCGTTACAATAAAAAAACCACATTCTGCAGTTCATTTTTAGTTGAATATGTTTCCATGTGCTGCATTTTGAAGCACTTTGTGTTGAATATAACTATGACTAGGAGAGGACACAATGAAGTTTTCATTGCCTAATAGTTGTTCTGTTGAACACGTTCAAATTTTCCAATAATAGGAGAAAATTAAAGACAATTTGCTTCATTTAATCACAATTTAGAACAACACTACAAACACTGTTTTTTTTTAAATACAGAGCATGGTTTGTGTATTTTTGTTGTTTGAGAAAAACATACAAAATGATTATTTTTCCAGCGTTTTGCAACATTGCTGTTTGTGAATACTTTAATTTGTAAGTTAAGGCTCAGCACTTGCAAAATGTATCAAATTTAAAATAAAAAAAAAAGAAGAAAAGTGTTAGCCAGAACAAACTTAATTGTTACGGTAATCACTGCCAAAAGGTGAAACTAAATGAAAATAAATACCATATTCAGCTATTTCCCTATTTGTGATGGCCTCATGTTGTTTTTGTCACTGTTTTAACTTGTTACCACTCTCAGAACTGCACCAGAGTACAGTTTTCCACCAAGGTCCAGCCCGTTCACCTTTTTGTTCACTTGTTTAAAAAAGATAATGCAACAAGTAATAAACTCAAGTCATCTAGTCAGTTTTGGCCTTGATCTGAATTCTTGATGTTTGCCTTTGGGGTTGATGTAAAGGCATGATACGGAAAATAACTGTGCTTTTATCTAATATTTGACCAAATTAATTGTGCTGTATCGGTGTGACAAGATGTTGAAGGGAAATCAGGAAAAAGAGGATCATAAGTATTCTTGCAGTGCCTTTGTGGTGAATCAAGATTAAATAGTCATATAATTTATTGAATAGACACACAATAATGTGCAAATTTCAGTTGATGGCAGTAGACAATGGAACATAAAACCCTCAGAAATGTTTGAAAACTGATCAATAAATAAATAAAACGAAGTTGTATTTGGAGCTCTGTTTGACTAGTCTTCTCAAAGTCTTGGATGTTGGCTCTTGGTCAACAGGGACTGGTAGAAATTTGATCTTTGCCAGTTTTCCTTGGATCAGTAAGTAAACTCTGAGGGTTCAGATGTTAGTCCTCTTTTCCTGCTGGCACATCCGGCACGGAAGAGCATGAGCTGCCTCGTGTTTACTTGGTTAAATAGTGTGACGTGTGTGCACACATGGGTGTAGGTCTGTATGCATAGGGTCCTTGCCTTTATTTGCGCTTTTCACCTTGTGAGCCAGGTTTTCAGTCCGTGTGCTTTATGGGCCAATCTAAATGGTGTAAATCAGCCATGTTTTCCTGTGTGATTCCTCAGGGTATGCCCTGTGTTGCGCTGGAGCAGCGTTGTATCATTTGTTTTACCAAGAAACAATATCTTCTGCATGTGTGTATGTATTCCAAGTTCATCGAACCATTTTTATTCTTTTTAGTAGAACAGGTGTGTTAACTCCTGACAGCTGCAGTCTGCAAACAGTTGAAGGTAGACACACAAACTACTCATTTTAGGAGGGGCTTCTGTCTATAACTGCCACTTTATCTTTATGTAAATATGACAGTAACAGGAGCTGGATATTTGCATTGTCTACCTTTTCTTGTGGCCACACTCCGTGGTGACATTAATAGTAGCAGAACGGGAGTCAGCTTGATTCTGTGAGAGTGTGTGTGTTTGTGTTGGGAGCCTGGCAATCAGTGATGCTACGAATATGACTCTCTATTTATAGGTTGAATTAAAAGATGCATGTTTTTTTTCTTCTGTTATGTCAAATGAATGGGTGTCGAGACTTAACCTGCCTGACTGTTTGGATTAGAAGCAGAACAGAAATAAGTGAACTCAGATGTGTACAAAAGAGAACAGAAGGGGAATCATCATTATAATTAGTGTACTAATTATTTGTCGTCATTATCATTACTAGAATTGGTCCTGCTGTTTTCATCAATAAGAAGCTTTATGTCACAGCAGCAATCACTGTCACGACCAATCAATATCAGTTCATCACAGACACTGTGTGTGCGTAGGCTAACGTCTACGCACACACACACTCCTCCTTGGGGATCCTGAAATGTTCCCAGGTCAAAGGGGATGCAATAAATAGCTTTTTAATCATATCTACTAATTTGTATTTGTGCAATAATTAAACAGCTACTCTTGTGAAGATACAAATGTGCACAATTTCATACTTTAATACGAAAAGACACGCTGGTCTTGAACAAATTATGAAACAGGTGTTTAACCATGCACTAGGACTGGGCAATATTGACATAAAAATTTATCAGGATTAAGTGTGGCATTTAGGCTGACGTTCTGGCCTTGGTCTGCATTTTCTGCCTTTCCTCATACTCTGGTTTATGTCTGTTTCAGGTGATTAAACAAATTTGTAGGGTCAGAGTTAGTGTTGGCTGTACCAGGCCGCCTTCCACCTGTGGTTTCACATGCATGTTTGATAGTGATGGTGTGTCCTATCCAAAAATATGTCATCACGTGCCTCTAATTACCAAGTGGCAACTATTAACTGACAGTTTTACTGATGATTATTTGCACACAATGTGATTTTAGCCAACCTTACACATTCACATAATTTGTCGTAGACCATAGCACTCAAATGTCCTTGTTTTCCTGAATGGAAAGGACAGTATTACTTGTGCTAATATTTTTAGTTTATCTGTAGAAACAATGCTTATTAGTGTGTCAAAGACTCATACAAAGATGGTCCTCGGCTTGGCTTCTGCCACGCTGAAACAGAGGGAAGCCGAGCACTGATTGGCACACACCCCCACCTGATGCTTTTTCCATAACTGCAATCATGTATCAGCCCCCAAATGAGCAAATGCTGGAAGCTGATAGGTTTGTGAGAGGGAGAAGAAATGAGAGTGGGATGGGCAGGGTTAAAATAAATAAAGATAAGAATAAAAAGTTGTTGGAGTGAGCTGCATGACCTGGGATAAAGTCATTACATACTCAGCATGGGAAGACAGTACATTGTAGACAATCAGAAGAGAACTGAAAAAAAAATTTACACACATACACCTATTGTTCATTAACCTATTTGTTCATTTCCTTCAGCCTCTAAATCAGTGTGAACTTTGTTTTACCCGCCTCTTTTTTATTCCATGTCTCTGTGCTTCCTCTGGTGAGTTTACTGAATTAGTGTTTTAATTGAGTTACACACAAGTGTACGTCTCTGGGTGCACAATCTGTCTTCATTCTCTGCTGGATCTTTTCTGACCCCACAGTTCTCCTATTTGGTCTTTTCATTTGGTTCTTCCTCCTTCTTTGCGGTGCTGACTCACAGAAATAGGGTTGCAGGTTCACTTCCTGGCCTTTCTGTCAAGAATTTGCATGTTCTTTATCTGCGCTGATTTCCTTACTTTTGGGAGATCGGAGATCGTCCGATTCTTAGTTCAGTTCCAGGCTGAGTCATTTCTACCTTCTCCTCTCTGTCAACGCTCTCTGGTTTCATTTAAAAGAGTCGATCATCAGATATTGTCCAAGATTAACCTTCAGAGTGGATTTGGCTTGTTCACACCGAGGACCTGTGAACGTCATTCACCCAGAATGCTTTGCATGTAAATAAAATGGCCCCGTCTGTTTAATAT